CTTCAGTGAGCCTTGTCATTCTAAGCACCAAGTTACAACCCGTCATAAACAAGTCTTGTCTAAGACTCTGACAAGACTCACTGACGATGCTGTTGAAGTGTCTGGGAATGGGACGCTAGGAATTATCATAACTGTTATATCAGAAGACTTCGGACAAGGTGCGCTTAACTAGGTCTTCCTGGCAGCACAACTAAGTTGCAAAAGCGAGGTCAAACTACTTCAACACTACGAGAGACTGAGATCAAAAGCAACTTGATCTTAATAGCTTTCAGTACTCGTTTACCAAATTAAATGTGATAATAATTTTTTGGTAGAAAAGGTGTTGTGCATAACTTTCAGGGAATGACAATATAGATAAAATAATTGAACAACACCACAAGCGGGAGTCGAACCATGAGAGGTATTTAGAAGACCTATGAAAGGTCAAAACTGCAGTCCGCCCATGATGAGAACACCTTTTGGGAAAGCAACGCTATGTGAAATTTAATGGAAACGTCAGCTCTACTCATATCATTGTGGGAAAATTCAACTACCAGTCCTTCATCACCTTAAACGAAATAGGGCGAACACAACTTATATATCTGATATGCTGGTCGTCTCGAAAACCTACTCACTTGCGAGAAAAGCTCTATACCATCATTTTAGAAGATTAGAATTAGCCACGCTTGAAAAATTGTGTAAAGTACTGGGACAACAAGAATACTAAAGTTAATTATAAATCCAAAACAGCCTAAATTTGACTTAAAACAGACATAAAGGGAATAATTTAGGGAATTTCAAAAGGTTGTAGGCACCCAAATAAATGATACCGATTAGGGCTTATAAAGTATGCACCCTAAAACCATCATAAAATCCTAGTGTTAGCCCATATAAACCTATCCTAAAGTTTGGTACAAATCTGCGCACTGGTTAGGTGAAAACAACGAACACATGATAGTTTGCTTTCAAACGCTTAAGAGGAAACGCAAAATGAACATATAGGCTCATAAAAAGTACCTAAATGGCTCCCCATTTTTTTTCCAGGAAAAGCTACAGTGACTAATCTCAACATTGAAGTCATAAAATCAGATAGAAATCCGGATTAGAAACTAAGTGCTTAATGAAAGCTAAATTAATGAGCTAAGCCTTTGCTTCCTCTTTGACTCTGAAAAGGAGACCATTGAGATAAGGAAACAGTGATAAAATTTTATCGACCCTATTTAAAAAATAGTTGCAGAAGCTATAGCAACTATTATTTTGCTTGCCTTACATTATAAACTCAATACGGGCAAATGATAAAAATGGCATATGTTGAAACATACATAAGATTAAACTTTCATCCACTTACTATTCTCGCGGACAAGTGCGAACTTCAGTGGCCTTTTTTGCATAACTAGTTCTCTAAGTGTTGTCTTTAAATCTAGTTCCTCTCTCTGCTGTCCAGAGCCAGCGCCATTGACAGTCGATTGCAGCTCAGATAGAACATCGTTTGACCTTGCCTCAAATTTATCTTCCTCTTTTCTATCCACTTCTAGACATAGGTCGAGGCCACTGACAGGTTTTAGAGCCTCTAATCTGTAAGTGTATACGCCAGCGTGTTGGCGCAATCGGCGACGGCGTACCGTCTCACTAAGCACACGCGAGAGTGGTGTGTCAGGTGAAAATTGTAGCGTGGATATCCCCTGGGCCAGATGAACATGAACCAAGAGGGGTCTATCGAGAGTTGGGACAGCTGAAGCGAGCTCTGATGATGAAATCGATCCACTAGCTGCGCCTTCATAGACATCGCCACGATCTTCATCATCTAGAGAAGCAGCATTACCAGTAAGTGTCGTCGAAATCGTAGTCGGCTGCAACGGCGGCCACTTTTGAGTATGCTGTTGCATCTGCAAAAGTCGGACCTGGCTTCGCGGAGTAGGTCTGGCAATCAAGGCTAGCTGCTCAAATTCATACTTAGTTATAAGATCTTCAGGATGAAGAGGCGGGAAATCAGTGTCCACGCCCTCCTCTGGCGAATCGAGAAAGTGGAGTGCGAGCCCGGACAGAAAAAGCTCAGTGATGGCTGGAGTGCTGGCCTGTTTAGCTAGGCGAGTAGCGTCGGCTAGAGAGGACTTAAAATGTAATGAGGAGCATATAACAAAAATGAGAAAAAAGCGTAGTGTTCCGAAGACTAGTGCAGTATGGTATTCATAAGCTTAAAAAGGTATCGGGGTGAGAAATGACAGTTTGATACAAAGAATTTTTTGGACCTAATAAATTTTTTATATAAACCCTTTAAAAATTATTTATGTATTAATTTTACCAAATCGTAAACAATATTTAATATTCTGTTTAGATGATCGCTAAACACTTATGATCTAACAATAATGCAGAGACTAGGTTGATGCGACTGAATATTTCATTTTGAATAAAAATTGGGTTGAAAGAGATTCGTAAATTGGCCTTGGCTGAAACCGAACGATTTCCGTAGAGAGGAGACTGTTGAGTTGTGCAACAAAGTCCTAATAACACCAACTTGCAAACCAGATTAATTCGTGTCATATTATGTGACAGAGCATAATTTACGAAAAAAGGAGCCAGTCATCTATTCTTGTTTCGGTGAATTGGTGCTGCTGTCTGGTTCTGACGATGTTTACTATATGAGAGACAAAAGCTCAACGAATTCAACTGAGCCGCAGAATGGTAAGCCTAGAACTTATTCACACATTCAAGTAGTCTCCACCCCAAGAGGATCCTTCGATTTGCAGTAGGGCCAATTAGTAAATCTTTTAAAAAACTTTGCCTTAGAAAATAAAAATGGAATAGCATGAATCTCAGCTTTACTTCATATATAAACGTACAAATCTACTCGCATAAGGTAGATAATACGCTTTTTTAGACTCCTGAAGTTACTATGAAAAATGTGATTCAGAGATAAAGGGCTAGAAATTGAACCAAAATGAAGAGGATACCATATGGATAATGAGAGAATTCATTAAATAACTTTCAGTGGGGCTCAAAATCAAAGATTATAATACAATTAAAAAACTTGGCGCAAACAAAGCAGCACCGAAAATGGAATGGAAAGACTTAAATTTTCTATATAATCACTATTGAAAAATGTACATAAGTAATTAGTAACATGATAATAGTTAATAATAAAATGCACATGAGCCTCCCATTTTAGTGCTAGTTTGTAGCAAATACAATGAATGAAAGTCGCATTTGTGTATTTTAATGAAGTCAAATTTTCCTTGTCTAGAGGAGTGATGATTGATTCCCTATTAAACTATTATATTTTCATAGTAAATCTTTCCTTTAGTAGCTTAATTGAAATATTTACGCATATCAATAAAGATATTTTGGCTGAATAGCTTTTATACTTTAAATAATGTAAGGGTAAATCTTTAAGTGGATTCTAAAAATAATTTGTCATGTCTTTATAACATTTTAGGGCAAAATGGATAATCAATGGAGAATATTACAGTCAAACAGGAAACAAAGAATCGAGTCCTGGTTTTACAGTGAAAGTGGTTCTAAAGCATAAAGCACTCTAGGGTACCATAAATGGCCTCGAGGTTCAAGAAACTAAAGTATAGAAAAAGTGAATTAGAATATGAAAAAAATTCAGATCAAAAGATCAGAATGACCAGTGTGTTCAAAGCTTACAGAGGACTGTCCTTCGTTTTGACCCCCAAGAGCCTGCGTGCAAAATTGCCACAGACAAAGACCAATTGCATTGCGAACAGTAGCTTTAGGAGAGGGACAAATCTTGACAAAATATGTTGAGGATGCGATACCGGGAACCTCCCAAAGCCATACAACATATGTACGACCTGAACTTAAAAAGTGCATAATAGAGTTAAGGTGGCAAAGACGCTTAAAAGTGAATTAGATTTGGGGTCATCAAGAGCAAAATATAAATAAGGGAAAAATATTTAAGTTTTAAGTGAATTATGGAAAATAAATTAAGATATTTTTAAATTAAACCTGCAACATCAAGTTTTAGCATTATTAATAAAGGAATAGATTAGATAATTAAAGTGAGATGTCAAAAAATTCGAATCCCGAAACATCCACTGGGAGTTAGGTGGCTAGAAAAAACAATTAAGCATAAATTCTCATGGATGAAGAAGATAAGACCCTTAAATTAGCCTAATAGGTAGTATGAATAAGGCATATGAAAAGTAACAAAAGATATGTAAATTGTTCAACGAATATATGATCACAAAACCATATGCTTGCTTGTGCCCGACCTTATCGATTCCATTTGGTGATGCAATTTTTGTGCAGGTCAACATAAATACACTGCAATATCAGTTCCTTTTCTCTTCGACATATATACGAATAAGCATAACCGGTACAATTCGAATTTACGTTGGATGTGATTTGCTAAAAATGGCTTTTCGTCGATAACTTTTGGTGATTAATAATAAGCTAGAAAAGGGGGATAAACAATTTGGAGGCAGACGCTCTCAGGGTGATAACTGAATACTCCCATTATGCATAAGTTAATAGCTTTAAAAGCTTGCACTTGTTACAGGCTGGTAAAAAATAATAGTTAAATAACTAAGATTAAGATAAGAAATTAAAGGAGTTAAGTAAAAAGCCACTAATATGGGTTGTACCAGTAAAAGCACTTTCATCGGCAGTAGACAATGGTCTGGAATCAAAAATCGCGTAATCAGCGAACGGTATCGCACCACCCATACCACAGAGTTCGGTACCTTGAAGGGAAGCCTGAAGAGCCCGGGCCTTAATTGCAACTGTAAGTGCAGACTTTTTTGATCGATCTGGCAAACATAATCTAGTCGTTTCGTGTAATTTGGGGGATATATGCATTTGTTCGTCAGCACCTTTTATTTCTAAAGCAAGTAAAGTCATAATAAATTATCTTAATTTAAGAACTAGATAATCAGATGTATACAATTTCTGTTAAAAGTGAGGACAATAGAAGAGATTTGAAGATATATAGTAAGTGAATAAGTAGAAAACTTAAATAATGAGTAATTAAGTAGTGCTATTCACGAAAATAGTATCAAAAGAGATTACCAGCTTTCTTTTGTACACTTCGTTCATGTTCTTTGATGTTTTCGTAAAAGATAACCATAGGATCTACGCCACGAAAGTTTATGGCTACACATGACATACCCAAGGATGGAACGAATGGAATTTCTGGCCAAGTAAGTAGTTGTGATTTGTGAATTTCATTTCTATAAGTGTAAGCCTGAATAAAGGGGATTACACATTTTCGGAAAGCTTCTCAAATTGGTTTTCAAAAAGGACTTGTTCGCAGATGCCACTATCATCACCAGTCAGGAAAAACTGACGAACACAAGATATGAGATAAGTAGTATCATCCGTGGAAGTCATAACTATCTGGGTGACAGAGAGTAAGCCTCATATGACATAGGGTTATGATACCGGCGGGGAAAGAATAAATTCATTTCAAGAAGTATATGCAAGTACTAGCATTTACAAACAATTTAAAATTATTTCGTCTATTAGATTCAAAATTAAATAGATTTATTCCGAATTTTTGCGGAATTTGATTTGGGGTAATGCTTGTTATACATAATAGGTATTCATCTGTATGTATAAGTAGATCGCTTATTAAATAATATGATTTTGACATAAAGTTGTTCTTAATAATTAATGGCTTTGACCTCTTCTGGAGGGGTCTATTAAATACATGCTTAGTGTAGTATATTTTAAACATCTCCTTAGTGGCTCTTGACACGCTGGCTACTTAAACTACTCAAATTTCCCTAACTATAAAAATATAAATCATTATACTTTGCAACCAGATTCAATAGGTGTCTAAACTTTACGAAAAAGTTACTCTATTACATAATTCCATTCGTGCCCATGTATAATATAGTAGGCCAGAAAAAACATATAAAGTAATTTAATTAATAGCAACGGATGGCAAGTGTTAATCTTTACAACAGAACACTTTTCGCTTCATAGTTTACTTGCGACTATGGAGACAAAGCGATAGTTTTGCCCTGTTTATATGTGAACTCATAATTTTAAAAATTAACAGTTTATTGTTTGTATCAGTAAGCTACAAATTATAAGAATAAGACCAGTTTAATCACTTCAATCAGTAATATTGTAATCAGCTAAATTTAGAATGATGCGATTGAATATAATGCTTGTAGATATTCACAGACCAATTACAGGACTCATGCTGATGTAAGTCGTAGCAGGATAATTAGTTTAAAGAATATACATATGTTCATAGCAATATATAAAACTAAGTGGTAGGATAATTGCAGCTGATGGCTTACTAAGAAATTAGTAGAATTCGTAATTTTCTGAAGGCAGATAGATACAGGGCCTTAAAGGCTAGGTAATACATCAAGTCTTAATGCTGCTAAGCAATTTATACAGAGTCATATCATACTCGTAAATACGTTTTAAATGAGATTTTGCCATTTTGGAATACTAACTCCCGAGCCATAAGATATATTCAAAAAATCATATTGTAAAAAGACACTTTAAGGCATTTCAGGTTGAGAATATAAAAGAGCTAGTGGGCTAGAGTAACGATTCTCTACTTCAAGTTTTACTACAATTTTTTGTTCATATTCCACATACAATTCGATACTCTGTTTTTTATGCCATTTGGTCTTGTACCAAATCAAAAGCTATTCATTTGACTGTATAGATTCTAGAGCCTACATTGCCAGTATTAAACTGATATTGAAAAGCATTGCCGTCAAAGAAATATTCTAAAATGAAAACAGAAATTCAAGTATAACTGGTTTTAAATCATTTTCGCAATTTAGAATG